ATCAGTGCAAGTCGCTCCCAGGTCAAAACATTATACTTGTGATTTCCATTTGAAGAGCGCATTGGATTGTGAGGAAAATCAATGTTTATCAACACAAATATGGCACATGCGCAGCGCAACGACTACCGCGCTTTAAGATACAGTTGTTTCGAAAGAATACTGTAAAACATGTCGTTTTAGCTCGCATGTTTTGTTTTTTTAGCTAATTTAGCTAATCTGTAATTTCGCGAATTCAAGATGTAGTTAATTTAACAGAAAGTATATTCTCACAGGGAGATAGTAGACACTTTAGATAAATTAGGATTCTGTTAATTCATGCCAGTGCATGCAGCTATTTCAACGTGTTCTATAGTATATCATGTGGCTATAATCGTCACGGAAATGGTTAATTATGCATACCCCATAGGTCCAGCGTGCCGTGCAAAATGGCGTTCTCGTCGTTATTGAATTTATCAAGAGTCAGAGTCTAGAAGAAATTAAATCATACACAGCTTCATTTAACATTATGCACTAGGATAACATCTCTGCATACTCTCATACAAATATTAAACAGATTTATGCAAAAGAGCAATAGACCAGCCGTGGTAGTCTGGCGCACGTGGTATTCTGTCAGAAGATTTTAGGCTCGTTCGCATTTAGTATATGGCGCACGCGGTGACCGTTTCGTACATACCAAAAATTAGCCAAACGAATGCAACTTTTTCAGTATTACACATTTCTAATAAAAAAAATCACCTGTCATGCCATGTTGTGATAGATAAATAGATATTTGGAGGACGATTTTAGTGATTATTTTACGACTGGCTACGAACGAGACAGTAGATTGTATGACGTACTCGTACAGCAATACCACGTGATAAAATCCACAAGTCGTCTGATGATTAATAATGCAGTGATTCATCATTACCGGTTTGATATACAGGATATTATCTCTGACGTAACTGTTCGAGCGGTTGTTCGTGTAGTATTCAAACTCCCAGTTCTGTAAAGTAGATAATATATAACCATAAACAAGCATTCGTGAGTCGCTCAGAAGATGAAAACAACTTATATACTATTTAGAACCATCAAGGAATTATTACTTACCCCACCGCCCCCTGCCGTAATCTCGTGTTGCCACCAGTCAAATCGGAACGTGTCAAATGTGTCTTCAAATATCAAATCATCTATTAGAATAAATTAAGAAATGATATAATAAGTCAGTCAGTTGTGAAATCCGATTGTCATCACCCAAAGTCGTGATAGGCTGGGAGGTTGTTTCAAATCCAGCTCAGTCACCACGAAGCAGCACGCAGCAGCGTGTAGAACATTTAGTGCTGAATGTCTAGTGTACCACGGTTAATTCTTCTACTACCCCATATGGCAACTGCCCCGGACAACAGCCTCGGGACATTTGCTCCACTGGAAACTTAGTATAAATTCGATATTTTTACGTAATCAGTGTTGACTTCGTAGAAATCCCATATTTGGTGATCACGGCAAATGGCGAAACAGGTTTTCTCATTTTATGGTAGATGTATCTGCGTAGCAACAAGAAAACTACGTTGTTACAGAACGGAATAGAGCACGTGACATGGAATACGATTTATCAGTGCACTCAAAGTTATATAAGGGGTGCTTGGCACTAAGATCGACAGTACTTGAACATGTGGTGGCGCACTTTCTGCATCACTAAATAAGTCAGAAACAGTAAGTTCAACGAGGTGTTTTACCATAAAAATTCTTAATTAATTTAGCTTTCCAGCTTCACACCAAGCATTGATGACGATTATCAGGTATTGTTTCAAGATGACTCAGATAACAGTCAATCAAACAATAAAAAAATGATTTATCGTCACACAATAAGAAGAAATATATAAATACAATATGCGACACAATGCAGTACAATGGATTGATTTATACCATTATATAGTACTTATTCTGTAAATACTATAAACGATTTTATTGTAGGTTAAGGGCAAGCTCTGAAATAGTTGTACAGGCAACCAAATTACACGTAAAGAAAATCGAATTATGAACTTGAAGTAGAAAAATACATTCCAGTACTTGAACTTATTGATCACCAGTAATGTAGTGATTGTAGCATGTATTTCATTATTGGTTTACCCAAGGTCAAATACCGCTTGCACCAAGAGTATATTTTTACCCCAGGCGAGTGTACAACGGGGCTTCACGGTGAGAGGCAAACCCTTGGTTTGGTTGACTCTGGGGTGAACGTATTAAATTGGCATAATGCCATTATAGTAGGATGATTGTTACACAGTCCGGTCACGTAAGTTTCAAACATCGAATGTGGTTTCTAT